TTGGTCTGAAGCTGTGTGGTCAAAAACGTTCCTTAACTCAGCGGAAAATGCCTCAGCAGAGAAGCATGCCACTGACAGCTTCTCCTACTCAGCAATTCCCTACAATTTGGCTCAATCCGTATGCAGGGAAATTATTTAAGCTACCTTGGAGTGTTTCTTAAGAAAAGAGGAAGGCTGAAGCTCGAAGGCTGAATCAAATTCAGGCACACTGAATCAAAAAGGCTCTGGACCTGGATTTGAAGGTGAAGCAGAAACTGGAGCAGCAGCCGAGTAGAAGTGAGCTGGTGGGAGTGACTGGATCTGAAATGATTGCAGAGTTATGAGCAGAACTGATGACAAACAAGACTGAATGAATGAATGAATAAATTAAATTAAGTTTAAATTAACTAAGGCAATCAGGATCCACCATTAGCTGCCATTTCAATCATGGTCTACCGCTACGATCTGATTCCCGCGTGATACCAGATTCGCCTTTATGACCACGATCTCTGATTAGTGAACCATCATCATAATCCTTGATGTGGCCACAGCCGCGGCCCTTGCTCTGCAAGCATTAAGGCATAGGGACTCTGGGGAAGAAGTCAAGTTAGTTACATGTATTGATGAGACATTCATTTCTTTGATAAGGAGGGAGAAGAGGAAAAAGAAGCTCCATGTGTCCCTCGACATTCTAGACCTATAGCAGCATAAGTAAGAGCAAGTCTAAGACAGGCCTGGACCAACTCTAACTATAAGCTTTATCATAAAGGAGGGTTTTAAAGGTTCAGTGTGCAGGGATCTCTCTACAGAGAGGATGTTTGTTTTACAGTTATCCCAACAAAACAAACTAAACACCTTTTTAGTTCCTATATGTTCTAAAGGTGACCACAGGTTCTCCTTCATGTTTGGATGGGTAGGGGGAGGTGAGGGGTATTCAGCTACAACATGCTACACCACTAAATGTCACCAAATTCTACACACTGACCCTTTAAGCCTACTCTTAAACACAGGGAGGGTGTCTGCCACCCGAACTGAAACTGGGAGATGATTCCGCAGGAGAGGAGCCTGATAGCTCTGGCTCCTACTATACCTTTTGAGACTTTAGAGACAACAAGTAAGCCTGAATTCCGGGAGCGCAGTCCTCTAGTAGGGTGATGTGGTACTATGAGTGCTTTAAGGTATGATGGTGCCACACGATTAAAGACCTTGTAGGTGAGGAGGAGAATTTTAAATTCTATTCTCGATTTAACGGGAGCCAGTGTAGTGAAGCTAATACAGGAGATATGTCATCTCTTATCGTGGTTCTTGTCAGGACACGTGCTGCAGCATTTTGGACAAGCTGCATAGACTTGAGCGACTTACTGCTGGAGCCTGATAATAAGGAATGACAATAATCAAGTCTGGATGTGACAAAGGCATGGACTATTTTTTCTTCATCTTTTTGAAAAAGGACATGTCTAATTTTTGAGAAGTTACGTAAGTGGAAGAAGGCGGTCCTTGAAATCTGTTTTACATGAGAATCAAAGGACAAATTGGGATCAAAAATGACTCCCAAATTCCGGACTGTTTCATTGGAAGCAAGGGCAAATGTCATAGCGCAGCTATATCATTAGATAACATTCGGTCAAGTATTAGAACCTCTATTTTATCTGAGTTTAATGAGAGAAAATTGCGAGTCATCTAGGTTTTTATGTTCTTGAAACATGCTTGAAGTTTAGTTAATTGGTTACACTGTTCTGTTCTGGTCTGAGTGTGTCCTGATAATTTCTCCTAGTGCAAGCATATAAAATGAGAATAAAACTGAGCCGAAAACAGAACCCTGCTGAACACTTTGGTTAACTTGTGTGCACAGATGACTCATCATTTATTTGCACAAATTGGAATCGATCTGAAAAATAGGATTTAAACCAGTTTAGGGCGGTTTCTTTAATGACAATTAACTGTTCTAGTCTCTGTAATGGACATAGATAGATTGTATTTAGTAAAGTTATATTAATTAGGGGTAGAATTTCTTTAACTAACTTAGGAATTGGATCTAAGATACATGTTGTGGGTTTAGAAGATGAGATTATTGTGGTAGACTTTACCATAAAAAAATATGCATGGTCTGGCTAACCATCAATTCATTTTTGTACATAAGAAAATGTCTAAAAGGATAAAGGGAGCAATCTAGTTGTATTCATAATCCATGATCAGGTGCCCCCACGGTCCATGATCAACTGCCACCAAAATCACCATCCATGATCATGATCCACTAAAGTCACAATCCATGGTCCACCATCATGGTCACAATCTACCAGCATGATCATGATCCACCATCACGTTGACAGTCCACCATCACGACCCATGATATGGCTGCAGCAGCGATCCTGGATCTGCATACAATAAAACACAACGACCCTGGGGAAGAAATCAAGTCTGTAATATGTATTGATAAGAAAAAATGCTCCCCCAGCAGCAGGTAAAAAAAGAGAGCAGACCCTGGTGCCGCAAGTGTGCCAGAAACATTTCATCCCAGAGGTTGATCTGGGGGGCATGCAGCAAAGGGCCAGGTTCAAACTGAAACTGTAGCCACAGCAGGAGTTCCCATACGTGGGGCATCTGCTGAACCAGGTCTCTGAACTATACCCCCTTGTCCTTCACGGAGAAGAAGAGGCAATATGTTGACTCTGGAAGCAAACAAGTCAACTTTCACCCCTTGACTTCCTAAGGATGGAGTCTCTACTCTCCTGCGTTTGGAGCACCTCTTGACCTAATGTTGGCTGCTGTGTCAGACAGCTCTGGCACCTGTACCACTACAGGCGAGTAGAAGAGGGGTCAGCCGTAGTGTTATTACCAGCTTGTACAGGCTACCTTATGAATATCCACACACCTTGACAGCAGGGGAACATTCCCTATCTACAAGGAATATGTAATAGAGTGGAGAGATTGCCTTGGTATTATAGAGAACACCATTGTGGGAGTACTTTAAACTTGCATTGTCACCAGTTTGCAACATTAAAGCAACTTGCAGCCATAATACTCGTGTAGTGAAACTCCTTTAACAACCAAAAAGGAAATACTTATTTGGAAGTAAAGATTATTATGTTTTTGTTTTTGAGAAATATACATTCACTTTTTTTCTCAGCATGAGATAAGTTGTCTGGGTGTTGAGTACATAGCTGGAGTCTAGACATGGTTAGCATAGCTTCGTATTTAAGACTGGCAGCTTGGGGAAACATCTGTCAACACCTGTTAAATTAATCCATTAACATCTTGTATATAATTTGTTTAATTAAAAAGTGATTCTTGCTGATGAGCACTTACACAAAGAAACTAAATGCAGCTTCCTGAAGTGATGTTGCTTAGATGTTGCCATGCTTGGCACTATCATGCCTGTATCAGAGATCAAATCAAGACTGACTCAGATTAATCCACATGGATTGCCATGACATGTCACAACCTTGCTGATTCCCTCAGCCTCAGCAAAAAGTCACACTTCTTACCTAGAAATCAATGTTACATCCACCCTACTCAACATTATTTAAGCTTATATAGCACATACATTCAAATACCGTGCTCAGGTATTTGAATATAAATAATTGTAGTATATATCTTCCAAATAATAATACTGATAATATTACTTAAATTAATTTCTAAAATTTCAACAATCCTCATACCCTCACACTAAAGTTTGATTTGTTGAGTTTTATGTCTCTGAATCTTCTTTTCATACATGTATTATGCTTACTTCACAGCAAACACTATATAGCTACATGTGCATAATGAGTTCATGCATAAACTGCTAGTAAATGTATATTGTAATTGGTGAAGATGAGGAGTGGAGAGCTATGCGGTGCAGTAAGTTTCAAGCACCCCACAGATGAAAGACACATTCCTACTCTGCATGTCGCTGTGTTCCTCAGACAGATTTCCAGCTGGGACCTGCTCTAATCTCTTGGCAACAATATTGACATAGAAATAGAAACCCTGGAGAGGACAGGACTCTAGCTGTCTGATGGCCTGCACATACATCTGGTGCTCAGAGTGCCTCATATACAGTGATACTGTAAAGACAGCTTAACCTTGAGATTCCAAGGAACAGTTTTGCATTTTACGAAATGTGATTGTTCAGAGTTTTACCTAAGGTTTAATGAAAAGATGGATATAAATAACATGCCTTTGTCCAGGACCAGCCAGGACTAGCCTAGCTACTGTGATCAACCAGAACAAACTCTGTGTTTTCTGTGTATTTAATGTACTACTTTTAGTAATATTTAAAATGCAACTCACATTGTTGAAGACTGAAAGCTTGAGTTCATAGCCCACTATGAAGTGACTATGCATTCGTGCCAATTCTTACAGAATGTGTTTAGCACATTTCATGCCAATTCTTTGGACGGCTGGAGTACACCAGTGAGTGGAGATGAATGCTATTATCAGTATGCTGTCATGCTGCAGTTTTAGCAGTTTAGCTAGATAGCACGTTAATATTTGGGACTTCGCATTAGAGTCCACTCCAAGTGCAGCTGAGACTGAATGGAACTCTAATGGTATCTGATCATAAACCAATTTGGATGAATTTAAACTTTGACCTGATAATGGTAGTGACTATAGATGTAGAAGATCTCCCATCATTAAAATTGTATCTGTAGGCAACACAAAAATAAGCAAAAGGGTACCTGTAGTAATCCACTAACCAGAAAAGCAGTGGTTCAATCCCCAGCACCTACCGTATGCATTCTGAAGTGTCCTTGGGCAGGATGCTGAGAGCCATTTTGCTCTTGAGATGACAGTCCTGCTCTCATTCTTTGTGCCAGCTGTCTGGGACAATTTGGGGTTCAGTAGCTTGCCTAAAAACACTTCCGCACACAGAGACTGGGATAGAACCTCTGATCCTCTGGTTAGTGGACAACCTGCTCTACCTCCTGATGTATCTCTGCACTGGACTAAGAGATGGACATGATACTGATATTAACTGATAATTGTATGCCTCAAACTGGTTGTGAAATGTGTTTGGTTCTTTCATCTTTTTATTTCAGGATAATCTTCACTTTGACCTATCCTGCTTGACATCTACCTGTAACCATGACAACCAAATCCACCAGCAGTGTTTTGGATGGGAAAGCCTCTTCCTCTCCTCTCTTGTCCTCTCCACCTCGCCAGCGCCTGGTCACTAAAGATGGACACTGTGCTCTTAGTTCCCCTCAGTGTCCCTCAGGCTCATGGTGCAAGGCATCAGGCACAGCCTGGCTGCTGGCTCTGCAGGACTTGTGGGGATTATTGGTGGGTCTACGGTGGAGATGGGTCCTGCTGGCCTTCTGCACCTCCTTCCTCACCCACTGGCTGCTGTTTGCCTGTCTGTGGTACCTGCTGGCCCACCTCAATGGAGACCTGGCAGTAAAGGATCATGATGCCCCCCCCCAGGGGCATGTAGTTTGTGTGAAACACATTACTAGCTTCACTGCTGCCTTTTCCTTCTCCCTGGAGACACAGCTGACCATTGGCTATGGCACCATGTTCCCCAGTGGAGATTGTCCCAGTGCCATTGCATTGCTGGCTGTTCAGATGCTGTTGGGGCTCATGTTGGAAGCATTCATCACAGGTACACCTCTCCTACTAAAATCATATCTTTAATCAGATTAATAACTGTGTATTGAACCATAAGAAAACTGAAGGCAATCATATTGAGTTAAAAAAGAAATACATTTTTCTGGATATTTCATTTAACTACGTCAGTGTTGTTATTTTTGTGTATTATGTTGTATGTTGTGTGAAATTTAATTCATATTTTGTCTGTTTCCCCTTCCATCAGTCTTAGGCCAACCCCCAACCAGACATCTTTTGTGGTGTTAACTTCAACCAAACCTTAATTTACCTTAAATCTAACCAATACCAGTTGAAAAGTTACTCAGATCTTTTAATTAAATAAAAGTTGCAGTATCCCACTGCAAAAGTCCTGCCCCTGAACAACTTGAGTCAAATCTATAAGTAAAACTATATAGGTATTTGCAACAAAGTGTACTCATTATAGATTTTGTTATATTGGTTTATTAGTATTGATCATAACATTGATAATGTTTTTGCTGGCAGAGGTGGAACTCAGATATACAGTTCTATGCAATATTTATTTGTTATGTAATCATTAGTTACCACTCTGAAAAAGAGGCACAGCTGTGAATCAGAAGGTAGAGGTGGTCATCCACCAGGTGTTTGTCCAGTAATTAGAAGGTTGGTGGTATAATCCCCAGTTCCTCCAGTCAACATGGCAGTGTCTTTGGGCAAGACACTAAATCCCAAATTTCCCTTGATGACTGTACCGTCAATGTTTGAATAGGATGTACAAGTTACACAAAAGTCCTCTGTGAATGTGACTTTTACTGTAAAGTACTTTGAGTAGAGATTCATAATACAAAAAAACTGGGGAAAAAATGCAATCCATCTCTGCACCTAATCACATTCTGACCCAGCATCAGGGGGTAGACCTTAAAAAATCACACAGCATTGGTTCAAGAGGAGATTAGTTGAAGAGGGGACAGAAACCAGCAGAGCCTAAGAGTGTTAATTGCATTATGTGTTGTTTGTAGCCTTCATGATCAGCCGTAATAGTGATATTAAGATTAAGATTCCTTTATTATCCCACATCATGCACACACAGCACTACATGCGAATGGGGAAATTTGACCTCTGCTTTTAACCCATCCATGTGAACACAGCACACGGAACACAATACACACAGTGACCACACAGAACAGTGTCTACAAAGCATATTTCTTACTAAACTGTTTCACAAGTGGCTGAGGGGTAGAGCGGTCGTCCTCCAAACAGAAGGTCAGAAGTTCAATCCCCAGTCTTCCCATCTGCATGCCAAAGTGTCCGTGGTGAACCCCAAATTGCCCCATAGAACAAAAATAAGTGCTGTTAATAGATGCACTGTGTGAGTGTGCGTGAATGTATGGGCTTATGGCAAACTGTAGTGTAAAGAGTGGTCATCAAGACTACAAAATAAAATAAAAACAATACATTGTCAAAGATTATACCAGTTCCTAAACTTTTGCCTCCTGACAATGTGTAGCTAGGGTTCACCATAGACTGTGTATAAAGATGTACGACATGACAACTCCACAATATCAATCTGTCTACAAAACAGTAATTATTTGTGTAGAAGAAGTTTTATTTCTTCCTTTTTTCACTCCCAATTATCACTTAACCCTTCAAATATATCTTGTAACCCCTATGTTGGAAACCAGTGGAAAATGTCTCTAATTGTCTCTAAATCAAAATAAATAGCTCCTCCAGAAGCAGCTACAACAATAATGAATAATGTGATAATTCAAATCATGATTCAAATATCACTCAAACAATGAAACTGTCTGTGTATATTTATTAAGAAGAAGCTTTTGGAAAAATGATTTACCCAGAGCTTGGCATAGCCTACTGTCGGAGTGTCACTAATAAAGCAGATCATTATTACCGATTGATAGAAACAACCTTGGACAACATGTCTTAGGGAGGTATGGAGCACAAGATAAGAGTTTACTGGAATGAACAATTTGTACCAAAGAGGTATGTGATACTAGCTAAACGAGAAAGGTTAATTGAGGATGACATTTTCACAACATACTTCTCCCTTTGTTTATTCATAAGCAATTTTAAGCAGATCTAAGTTCTGAATTTCATCAGCTGGATAATAAGAAAAACCGTCTTGAGTTTGGTTCAGTTCTGCTAAGGATCCCCATGACACTGAGTGTATAAGGAGCTATTAACAGTAGTAGTTAAAAACCAAAATGTGTAATTAAACTAAAAATTACACATTTTCCTTCTGTTATGCCCAGCTCGTTTGAGAGCACAACAAAAAGGGAGGTCCACACAACAAACATTTAATTAAACAATGATTTATTAACATTAAATCAAAATAAGGCAAAGTATAATGTGCTTGATCAGTAATGAGGTGTGGGTGTTGAGTGTTGTGTAAATGCATGTGTAAATTAACATAAATTATTCATAACAAAAAGTAACTAAACACAAGCATAACCAAACACAATAACCAAGTGGAAGCTGAAAGGCTCCAGCCTTTCAGGAGGGAGAGAGAGAGAGAGACATTTTTAATCTGCCAGTTTATATAGACTCCCAGCAGGGGAAGCCAATGACGAGGTAGGAGCCAGGTAACCAGAGGCTCTGAAAGAAAATACACAAGCAGGACAGAACCAGGACTCTCATATGGCCAGAGGCCATCACACTTCCTGTAATAGATTATCAAGATTGCCTTGTGAAATTAAGCAGACACATTCGAATAATCTTTGCAAGCAAAGTGATATTTTAATCACATCAATCAGAAGCGAAAAATAAAATAAAAGAGTTAATACTTTGTAAACTGTGACTTGAAATATGCTAAGGCTGTTTTTGTATGGAAAAGCCCCCTGATATTCATTGAAAAGCTAAAAGTATGAAACACAGTAAAATAATCTGTTTATCATCAGTATTAAATTAATTTGCAACAGTGTCTTCCAAGTCATTGTCCATGTTGTCAAAGAGAGGAATTCAATCAGGAATTACGTCCTAGTCAGGTGTGTTTTCAGTTTATTAGCATTGTTCAGTGGTAGTTGCACATACTGACCAACTGTGGGGCCAAGCCATTTCAAATATGAGTGCCTTGATACCACAAAAGCATAGTGCAGAAACAAATACCAAGGGCCAAAATAGCAAAAATAGGAATTAGAATCTGAAATCACAGAGCTCACCTGGGTCCAAATTTTTCATTCAGCCACTCCATAGCACTAACACGTGCACGATCAGAGGCCCTAATTGATATTATCAATATTATCTGCAAGATATGTCACTCCATACCACAGGAAGAGTCCTATTTTCTCCCCAAATAAATATGATAATGATATTCGTCTATGGACTGCAATTGACCCATTTCTCATTCAGCAAAGTTGGGAGGTAAGGACCCGTAATATTGATCTGCACAAACCCAATAATGACCCTGAACTGTGCCAAAACCTTGAGGGGACTTTACAACTTAGGTTTGTAAGTATTTGGGAGTTTGACATTAACTGACATGCAAGCAGTGTTTCCATCAATAAGACTGACATGTTTCATATTTTAAACATGATGATGTTCCCCAAAATTTCCCTTGTCTCTTAAAGTTACCAGGTCAAGGCTTTGTACACTTATAACATGTCAGATTCATACCTCTGCAAATACAATATGATGATGTTGTTGTATTGTGATGTTTACGACCAGCTTTACCACATAACCTAGAGTCAGTTGAGTTTTCACGGAAAACCATTTCAGATGACATAAGAGACTGCAGTCTGTTTTGTTGAAGTACATGATGTCAGTAGTTGTTCTCCCTTGTGCTGCTGTGAGGCAGGTAGTTGTGTTCCATGTGGCTTGAGTGTGATTTAATACTACCTCCTCTGTTAAAGTTAACAAACACTGGGTCAATGCTTCAGAAGCAGGGGGTGCATCCTGGGATATTACTTGCAGTAAGCGTTAACAACAGCAAACACATGCTTTCAGGCCACTGCTCAGGTCTGTGTCTGTGACAAAGAGAGTAGTCAGAGACACAGACAGACCTGAGCATCCTCCGTGGGTCAGTCTCCCTATTTGTCTTCTCCATGTGTTTCTCTCTGTGTGGCAGCTCTCTGTAGCCTTTTTAACTAGGGAAGTATCCAGCCAAAAGCTTTGAGCTGCACTGATTATCCCCATTGCACTGCTGGAGGTGCTCCATGAGCCCCTCCACTCTCACAGTGATGTTTTCTGCTCAAGTAAAGTGAATGATACAGAATGATCAACCAAACGGCTGAGCTGAGCATAACCCACAATATCTCTGGATGCCATAATAGCCTTATCAACAGCAGCAATGACTCTTAAATACATAGGCAAACCTGCTGCAACCAGGTCCAGTTTTTATGAAAAGTGGGTGACAGGACTCTGTCTGCCTCTATGCTCCTGTAACAAATGTCATACAACCATGTCATACAACCACCACCAACGGTCTGTTTCAATGCAGTGCCAGTGTAGCGGCTTTGTACTCCTCCGTTGCATTGTGTATTTCACTGAAGAAGACCGTCACTTTTTCAGGATTACAAACACAACACCCCGGGGCCTTCATCGTCATCACAGGTGACTTTAACCATGCTTCCCTCTCATCCACACTCCCAACATTCTTCCAGTTTGTAAAATGTGCCACCCCTGACTATAAGACTTTGGACCTGCTGTATGCAAATGTTAAGGATGCATACAGCTCCACTGCCCTGCCACCACT